AATAGATAGAAATCAACGTTATTGTATATACTGTGATAAGCACGACATTTAGGACGAGTATCATTTCATTTTGATTTGCCGATGTTATATTGATTTAAGGAAACTATATATAAAAGTATTATTATGTTAAACCAAGCATGACTATTAAAAAATGATAAAAGAACAATTATTACAAAATTTAGCTATTTATATTAAACGTGCTATGACTTTAAGAGCATCTGCTTCACATATTTAAGTCCATCCTCTCAGAATAGAAATGCTTAAAACATCATGATTATATTATGTAATTGTAATTTTATTAAATGTAAATGTAATGTATGTGTTATTGCGATTCGATACTTATAAACACTGGTTTATCATGTGAATGTATGTTTGTTACGATTATGTACTTATGGTACATATCTAATGAAATAAATGTTCTGTTCTGTTATGTTTTTATTAATGACTGGCCTGCCAAAAGCCAAGATCTAAAATCCATTGACACCTTTGGGATAATTTGGGCCAGCGTGTTAGACGTCGCCCTATTCAGCTACGAGAAGCCTTAATTCGAGAACGGAACAACTTTCCACAAGCCGAAATCATTTATGCGCCAACCATACCAGGCAGTCTGAAGGTGGACATGCCCGATATAAATTTGTGTGTGTAGCTAAAGCCCGTCTGACACAGAACACGGTTGAGCACACGGTTCCCATACGGTATACTCGGTTATACACGGGTTGACTGGTACGAGTATTGGGCTCCAACCGTGCCGGGGGATTAGTTGGTACGAGTAAGACTCGAATGTAGCACGAGTATGAACGAATAAAGCACGGACATACTCGGTCAAGCAAAGTTTTAACACGATTTGCATACGAATACATACGATTGTTGTTCGGTTCCAAGTACGGTCTAGTACGGTCTGGTACGTTTAAAAATGACTTTTACTCGATTTACTCGACCTTCACAGGTTTTACATAGGGTCCCGCCGATTTTTGTTCGAGTTATGCTTGAATTATCACACATTTGTGAATGTTTTGATATAAATTGATCCATTTTGATGGCTTGGCTTCATAAATTTTCGAATTTTCAAAGAAGAAACATCTTTATATGTGAATTTTGGTTATATAATACAATGTCAGATGCAACAGATGACAGAATAAGAGAATTAGAAATCATGATAAGACTGATAGACATTGTTGGGTCCCCCAGCTCATCAGGCTCGACATGGTCAGCAGGTTGGAGTGGTCGGTGGGCCTGGATGGCCCTTCTTGTATTGCTTCTGTGCATGGAAACCTTTTTCTTTGAATGCAGTAGATCGAGCAGTTGAGGGTGGCAGCTTTCGTTGTACAGTTCGTGCTGACGTTGAGGCGTTGTAAGACCGTACGAGGCCGTGTGAGACCGTGTATACGCGTACTATACCGTGTCTGCCATGTATGATTCGTACTCGAACCATATCGGTCGAATGGCGATCGTATAAAACCGTGTAAATCGTACCCTGATCGTGTGACACTCGGGTGTTAATTTGGTGTTGGATGTAGGAATTGGGGACGGTCTCGAACGATTCAATATGATTTATATACAATTTTGACACAGTTGGCTCTCTTGTGGAGTGGACTTCAAATACGGTTGTATATACGGTCTCATGCGGTCTTACACGGTCTCTTACGGTATTGCACGGTCGCTTATACTATCATACACGATATGACACCCGTACCAGTTTTTTTAAGTTTTATAAATCATACACGGCTTACTCGGATACACTCGAATGGCCCGAATGTAACATCACGCCACGGTTGGTTCGGTTGTATGTACGGTTTACACGGGTGGTCGACCGTATTAACCGTGTGTGGAGACAAATATTCAGTTCATAAAACAGTTAACTTCTGTGATGTTGTTTGTGGAGTTGTTCCCCTAAGAAGTAAACAGTCTCCTGTAATTCTTTCCAGAATGTGTGGGGGTTTTTTTTTCATGTATTTTATGTGGCCCCGCTCGGATTTCCGCGACGAGTTGTTTCACTGAGTTAATTTTCAAATGATTGTTGGGGCGGTTACTGAAATCAAGTAGATCAACGCAAGAACATTGATAGAGATATTTTAAAAACAAACCATTCCGTAAAAGTCGTAAAACGCTGAAATGTAGAAACAATTTGAATCAACCCTTTCTTTTAACAGGTAAATATTGCTGATTTGAGAAATAAATTAAAGGTGCACATCCGATTTTTTAACGATGCTATTAGTCGTGCTGTAAGAGTTTATATAACTAGTGACATTATGTCCATTAAATGGGGAGTTTAATAAGTGAACAGGTGAAAGTAAAAAAAATACATTTTGAAATAAGTTCTTTAAATTTACTTCGCATGACTGATATATAACTAACGTTGCCCATGGAAATTTCTGTAATTATCCATCAGAATTTACCTGTAACGTTCAAATTAAAAAAAAGTTGGACAGTCTTTTTATATTTAAGACAGCTTTATATTGTTTCATAAACATTTTTCAAGATAAACTATTGATCAATCACCATTATAAAAGTCAATCTTTTGAAATATATAGTCTATTAAGCTCTACTTGACAATAAAAAAAATAATCATAACGTCACTTAAATGATAAGAAGTACAATAAAGGGCACAAACTATCATCATCTTAAAATTAACCTTTTATAGTAAATATCATAGTTTTAAATAAACTTTTAGGAAACATACATGTGTTTCTTTGACAGTGGTAATCGATATTCATTATTACATACTACATGAAAATTGCTTATAATTACTACCCTTGTGTGATATGTCAAACATAATGGCGAACTACTTGTTTGTGCACAGATTACGCACAAATCACGGATGATGGTCTTGTAAAGATGCCGAATACGCCGAACAATTGTTTTATCTGTATTATAACTTTAGCTTTGGTGTCGATATAATTGAACAAATTTCATTTTTGTTACATGTAGAATCGAAATTATTAATTAATCGAATGATTTCTCTTTCGAATTTGGAAATAAACGGTGCGATATTGAAAATTATTTTAAATAAAATTAAATTAATTATTTTAAATATTATTAAATAATATTTATATTTCCGAAATTATTTTTTTATTTTAGTTCACATCTAAAACCGTGTTTACTTTTTAAAATAAATATCAAAATTGAAACAATTCATATCGTCAAAAATCTTGACGATGGCAGAGATCATATACATTGTAAGGTGATATCACTGTGCGGGAGAACAATATTAAATGTATTTTTATCCATATTTAAATGTCCCATGAAGGTTGAACACCTTTAACGCGGATAGATTCCGCAATGATAATTCGTATACGGTCAGTTAGTGACAAAACTATGCTAGGCCATAATTAACCCCGGTTTTTATCCCGTTAACTGAAATTATATAATTTTAAGACGTTCATCACGTGTCGTTTTAAACATGTGATTTGAGTTCAAGAGTTCTTAATCCAGAACAAACAATGAAGGTTATATGGTGTAGAGATAACATATACTTCTTACTACATGTATTTCTGAAAGAACTATTACCTGAAAATGTTAAATTTCGATATAACAAGAATAAAAAAAGTCTAATATGGTGGCTAATATTGTCAACTATTGCGCGTTGCGTTGTCGATAGCAATCGTTATCGTCGTTTTGTAGCTAGCGAAACGCGCCAAACGGAAAGAAAAAATATCTAGTTAGTCTGCAAATATCTGTTATTAATAATGGTAACATGAAAACTAACTACATGTAGTTAGTCAGATAGTTAACGCGATAATTATATGGTAAACTGTTGGCAGAAAAATGCCACCATAAATTAAAATGTTCTTATAATGTGCTCAAATAATTTTAAATATATCTCTGAAAAGAAAACATCTCTTTCGCTAGAGGTCATGACTTTTAGACTAACTTCCAGCTATTCAATAATTTCCGGAAAAAATATGCATAACATGCACACAAAGTTGGTTGAAATGACATTTATGGTAGTACCACGGAAAGTTGGTTGAAATGACATTTATGGTAGTACCACGGAAAGTGTCCCTTGTCGTCTTAAGCAGAACTCAGTTGACACCTTTAGAACTTTCGAAACTAAAGTGCGTTGATATGTAGCATATTGTCACTCTTGGGTTCATTTCTCGATTTCGACCCCTAAGTTTGACCTCAAAGTGTGCTGTGGAGTTTGGATTGGACCCCGTTGTGCGTTTGACACCAAAGTGCAGTTTTACATAGCACCATACTTTTGGACTATATTGTTATAAATTACATTTGTAAATTAATAAATAAAAACTTTTAAATACATTTTCAAAATTTTCATTAAAATTAGAATGTACCTGAAGGCATGCTGCTTTAAAACAGTCGTAATCATGTAACGTTTTAAATTTGTAATTTTATTCTAGTCTTTTTCTCTCCAGATACATGTTAATTTTCATAAAAAAATTAAAACCATGTTAAACAAGAAAAATATTGAAAAGTGAGCAAAGATTGCAAACAGCACTTACAATCTACGAAAATTACCAAAAATAGGTCAATATATGCAAAAAGTAGCCCTTACTGTGTTAGTCAGGCAGTAGAAATATGCTGATAATTTGATAAATACTGCAAAATCGGTCATAAATCGCATAGAACATGTACATTATTTTGATTTTATTGAAATAATTTGACCCAACCGGAAGCTTGCAACTTTAAAACAAAGAATATAGATGACGGCATGATTCAATTCTAAATTTATCATCGCAATAAAAGTATCATAATTATATTTCTGTTATATTCAGAACAAGCAAGTTGTATATGTTGTCTGTTATATTCAGAACAAGCAAGTCGTATTTATTGTCAACCTGAATTTATTTCTTTAGTTATTGGTGATTCACACACTATTATTATATATTACTGGCAAGTGGTTTAATTTTGGTAAGCCCTCGCGTAACATTTTACATACAAGTGTCAAAGGCGTATAAACATAAACTAAACTTTATCTTTCTCACGTGGACTTTTCTGTGCTCTTCTCCCGTCAGAGAGTATAAAACCCGTTGAACAGTACTCTTGACTTTAGTGGTAAACACCAAACAGGAATCATGAAGATAGCGTGCATTATAACGTGTTTATTTGTTGTGTCGTCTGCGGAGAACATAGTTGAGCTTGCTACAAAGCTCGGTGCTAACACACTCGTTAAATTGGTAACTGAAGCGGGACTTTGGTGACACTCTAGCAACCGGAGGGACGTGAGGTAATGATGATTTTAACATTTGTTTTTCTACTTTTAGTTTAGTGTCAAAATATACGTATAACGTCAGGACAATCTAGATTATTTACTGATGGTGAATGGTATAATTTATTTAAGTTTTAGGGTCTATCGCGTTAATTAGATTTAAATTAAATAGAACACCATTAAATCATATTTATTTTTCCTACATGAGGCCTTTACCTTTATAAAAGAAAAAATGGCAGTTGCGAAGCTGCGCGCTTAAGTAACTAGTTTGACTCGATCATTTCAAAATTATAAGCTGCAAATAGAGTGGCATAAACAAATTGAAAATGCCCACGGACCAATCCGAAATTTATATGAAGGTAGATATGTTTGTGCTCACAGTAATTCTTTAAAAAGATATCAATTTATGTATTGTAATTGAGCTTGACTTTTGACTCGATTTATTGAAAATAAATTAGGTAAACATCTGCTTGCATTAAATAACTTTTAAATATTTAACATTTTAAGCGTAGTGCGTGTGCGTTTTCTTAGTTTAACATATTTTATTATAACATTACATTACGTGATAATTGGACGATAATATTGTAGGAAGCTTGGAAACTCTCTCTGCGTTTTCTTACCAATGTGTTCGAGGTTCAGAAGATTGCGATTGTATAGGTTACCCAGATGGCATTGCCTTTTTAGTCCTTATCCGTCATTTTGTCGAGCCGCAAAGCGTATTTCGGTGAAGGTGGTCCGTCCGTCAGGTCCTCCGTCCGGATTTTCCGGTCTTATCGTTTGCTCATTCTTTTAAGGATTGCAATAATTTGATTACAAATATCCACATGATGGGGTGGTGTCGCACACAAAAACGCAGGTCCGTCATCAAAGGTTCAAGTCACACTTGGGGTCATGCCCAAAACCCTTGTCAGGAGTGTAACTTCTTCATGCATGGAGGATTTTTTATATAACTCGGACAAGTCAAATCTTGGGGATCAAAGGTCAAATAACAATTTAAAACGTTGGTATTTTCGAATATTCGGTCTATATACACGGTATGGGATTTAAGTTATAGCATAAAACAAATATTCTCCATGTTTGAGTTGAGTGAGTTATCTTGCGCAAAATGAAGGTCAAGGTCACAAGTGCAAAGGTACAAATAAAAAATATTTAAATTTGTTTGCTGTCCCGGATTTGACTGATCTATATCTTGTTATTCTTTGAAGAATAACAAAATAACTACACGCATGGAGGGATTTTGAAATCACTCGCCATATTAAGGCAGAATGTCGCGCAAAAAAACAGGTGCCTGTGGCTAAGATCAAGGTCAAACTAAGGGGTCAAATGTCAAATGACAAATTCTAACACTATCGGAAATTTTCTTATATAGACAAAGAAGGCCGGAAGCGTGCATTATTCTAAAACAATGCACTCGCCGTTTTTATTATCTCCCTGTGTATTTCACATTGAGGGGGCCGTTTGTTTTAAAAAATCTGATAATAAAACAATTTTTGTCTCGAATTTGTTGTGAAACTATCTAGAATGAAGAAAATGTCTAACTAAGAAAATGGATCCGAACACCATATCTTTAATTCAGTCGTTAACGATGTACAGCGTTAAAGTGTTGTTTACGTGACGTCACAATGTAGCGCAAAACAGCACGTGCAAAACAATCAAATCAAGTACACTATTTTAATGTCGCGTTAGAATGGAAATAGATATTAATTCTTCGTGCATTATTGTATAATAATGCACGTTTTTCGTTCAAATGCTTTGTAATTTATCAATCAGGCCTATCGGCCTTCGTGATTATATTACTGCGCATTTGAACTCAAACCGTGCATTATTCTACAACAATGCACTCAGAATTGATATCTATTTCCTAATTAAAACATTCATTTGCGTGTATAACGTCTGTATACATTATAACTTACCACGTTGAGTTGAAATGTCTCTCGCAAAATGAAGGACAATTGCAAAATAATTTGGTACATCATAATTTGGTGGTGTGCTGCACACAACACCCAGGTCCGCCACTCAAAAGTGAAGGTCACACTTGGGTATCAGCGCAAAACCTGTGTCAGGAGGGTAACTTCAATAATCATAGAGGGATTTTAATATAATGGAAAAATATTTTTCATAGTAAATCAGATTGGTGCGTAAAAAATGCAGGTGTCTGAGGCAAAGGTCAAGGTCACACTAAAGGGTCAAAGGTTAAATAACAAATTAAAACATTCATTTGCAAGTATAACATCTATATACATGGATGTTTTTTTAAGTATAACCTTACACATATTCTCCATGTTGGTTGATGAGTTCTCTTTAGAAAAATTTAGGTCACGGTCACAGAGGTCAAGGTCAAATGAAAAAGAATATTAAAAATTTAGTTGCTATATCTGCTTTACTTTGCAGTATTATGCTTAGTGCGTCAGAGGATTTTTGAGACTAAGCTCACATAGTTGGTCAAAATATGGCTGTCAATGTTGTTTGTGTGTTGCGCTGCTGCATCAAACTTGTCCATGCCATAACTCCTTGGGAGAATTTTCAATAAACATTTATTAAGTTTTGAAATTCATCATGGATTCGTGCATGCACATTTTGAATCAGGCAACCGGGTCGAAGTCAAGGTTCATTTAAGATGATTCAATATAAAAGTTTGTCTTGTGTATAAAAATGATATGTTGCGCAAATCTCACTTACGTATGATCTGAAGCTTATAGGTTCAGGTTTGAATTAAGACGAACGGGCTTGACATTCTGCCCGTGGGCATATCTTGTTTTATCATGTGGTTTTACGCTCTGTTTTCATCGCCTTAGGGCAGGCTGTGTTCGGATGGAATTGGCCAAAGCTTGTTAATTGTATATGTCGCCATCTAGGAACGGCGACAAAACTCATTCTTAACTTTAGGGCTGCGTTCTGTGTACATGGCATTGTGGTCTTAGCTGTCATTTTTTATATAATTTTTTTTCAGCTGCATGTACATTTTAATAATATTGATATTGCACACGAGTTTTACTTTTTAAATAAAAAATCGACAAAGCATTTTAAGTACATAGAGCTCTACTATAATTTATGTCGAAAATTTCTAAAAACAAAATTATGAAATAAGATCAATTTTAGATTGTTCTAGAGGCATACTTAAAAGTTTATCCAATGGTGTTTTGCCATGCTTCTCTCGTTTTGGTTTTTAGTAATGACCCTGTCTTAAATTATTGGATTAAAGGCACTTGATATCCAATTGGATATTTGATAAAAATGACTATTTTCAAAATTGAAAGGCCCATTCACTGTATTCGGACCAACCGATGAAGCATTCGAAAAATTACCAAAGGCTGTCCTGGCTCGCCTTCAGAAGGACAAAAAGCTTCTGGCTGATGTTCTGGAATACCACGTGGTGTCTGGAGCCGTATATTCTACACAATTAACCAATGAGATGGTAGCGCCTAGTTTGTTAAAGGACAATGGGAAATCAGTTGACATTAGGTTCAACATCTACAAACAAGGAAGTGTATGTGAATAAATTTTCATTTCAAATGGTCAATTTGAAAGATTCCGGATTTCTAATAAGCTACTATTGTAATCAACCTATATTTCAATATTATACCGGTAATATAATCATGTAATTCAATAAGTTTGTCTCAGCTTCTAATTGTTTAACATTAATACAATTATCAAAAAAGTTAAAAGTCATTATAGACAATCGTAATAAAGCAATAAATGGCTTCCGTTTATTTTTTAGCTCATTACAGCCGACGGAAGTCCAGTTGTATTAGCAAACCAGAATGCTTCTAACGGTGTTATCCACGTTGTAAATAGAGTTTTATTCCCTATTCCACTGAAAAATATCCCAGGCCAGGTTACCATGGAGCGTGGACGATTCTCAACTTTGTTAACTGGTAGCTAATTATTGACTTATCGTCTTTATTATCAAGATAGGTTTATATTTCTTAATCAAGAAATACCTTTATATTGCAATTTGAAATGTTTCGCAAAGAAAAGATTACTTTAAAGCATTGTATTTTCTTTTTTGGGTTATATCTCTCAAGTCTTGGAAGTTACTTTGTTGTAATACGTAGCTTTTACACTTTTTACTTCTTGTGTAATGTAACATAAACTAACTTAAATATTTTGTCAGCCGTGGAGAAAGCAAACCTTACATCCACCCTAGCCGGAGGTCCATTTACCCTTTTTGCACCAACAAATGCAGCATTTTCCAAAGTTCCAGCCGATGTTTTGAACAAACTCCTGGCCAATATTACAGCATTGACAGGCAAATACTTTTTGATATATGAAAACATTATTTTGTATTTAATTCGAACTATTTATCAATTATATATACATAGATACTAATAATACTGTAAATGCGTAAGATTGTAAATTCTTGAAGTAAATCATTATGGTTGATATGTGATCATCGCTCCTGGATACGTCCATGAATTGAAAGGTATTTCTTATTTTCATTATATCTTTCAATATTTAAATAAACCATGATGTTCAAGGCAAATGTTTGCCGACTCCAATGAAACATATTTTTCCATTGAATCTTTCTTATGTTTCCAATTAAGCTTGCAGCCATTTTTCTATGTGGCAATATTTTGATTTAAATATCGGGTAACATCGTGTCATAATTTCGGAAAGCATACGGGCAAAAGTGCAAGAGCTACATGAGAAAAATATGTATCCATGGAATCGAAAACTATTTGTCTGGAACATGGTATAAGGTAGTCTTACTGCAATGCTTTCCCTAACATCGGTCAATGTCGTAATAAATCGGTCATTTCCGGAACGTTCTTTTTCACAATCTCCGGTATTCAATAACTATGTTTTAATCATTTATAACCGGAATTTAGTACATGATGATAAAAGAAGAGTGATTGTAAATAATATAATGCCCAGATTTTGAAAAAAATAACGTCTCGAAAATAACCGATTTGCTACGATATTGGTTGATGTTAGAATTTTTGGCGGGGAAGTATTACAATAAATCTACCTTAAGTCTTAAAAATAGCAATTATCATTAGACCATTGGCGCGGCATACCTAATATTACCGTAAAATATGCTCATCCATCCTGCCAATCAATCGCCAACTTCAAATTAATTTCATTTGAACTTGTTTCAAGTCACTTAACATCCATTCAATTTATGGATAGAATGACTTAATGTAAGACCTGTTTTACATTTACAAGCTTTTTAAAAAAAATTGTAATTTTATTGTTATTGTATATTATATATTGTTGGGTTACTTTTAAAGATGTACTAACATACCACGTGGTTAAAGGCACAGTCTGGAGCGCTAGTCTTACCAATGGTGAGATGGCCACAACAGTCGAAGGAAAAACTATTACCATAAATATTGGATCAGGTATAATTTTATTTCTAGAATATGTGTACATATTTTTCCACACTGGCAAATATAAGAAATTATTTAATAAAACCTTGGTTAAAGAAGTTTGCATAGTAATGTAAGCATTGGTCACCTTTTAAATGGCAAAGCGCCCCTAGATAACTCGTGCATGAGTATATTTCGGTCCTATGTTTACTTCGCACTTTTATTAAAAATCGATGGTATAGAAAATATTTATAGATATACAACCATCTTACTTTTTACGCAAATTATACATGAGTAAAATTTAATTGAAATTTTAAAATTAAAATTGCATCAAAACGTTTCAATGGAAAACAGATTTGTTATGGCATCATATTAATTTAAATTTTAGGTGGTGTGATGATCAACAACGCAAAAGTAGAAGAAGCCGACATGGCCGTTACAAATGGTGTCATACATGTGATTGACAGCGTTCTTCTACCTCCATCATTTGATATATTTAGCATTTATTAAATGACATGCAATGTCAAAAATTTGTAGATACATTTGTATGTTTATAGTTGTTATAATAAAAGCTATTTAAATGTTCGTAAAATTTGTTATCAAAAGTATAGAACAAATGTATTGAATAAACGAATATCTATTTTACATCAAAGTAAAGCCTGTAATATAAGCACTCTATCTGTCAAAAGTTTGGTTTAAAGCTGCATGCCTCCAGATGAGACAAAAAATTTCAATGAAATCAAACTTGAGAAATATGTACTTCTATTTTAGGAAACGTAAACTGATTCAAGATTCAAGTAATATTTTACATGTTATATGCAGTTAATGACTGATTTTTTAGTATTTACAACTATATTTGTACTGCGTTACTAACGCAACGCAGTAAGGGCTATTTATGCATATTTTGACCACTTTATGATTATTTGCATGGCTTATAAGTGCCATTGATAATGTGTAAATGGCTTCCTTTTGGTAATATCACAATATTATACATTCAAATACATTTTCAAAATTTTCATGAAAATTAGCATGAATATGGAGGCTTTAAGAAATAATATTGATTTCAGGTCTCGGCCCGGTGAATTATCGTATTCTTGTTCTATAGTAAATCAGTGACATTGGAGGCATAATTCTGGATTCCACTGTTCTTGATGAATTATATACTGTCTTCAACTTTAAACATCAACACTATCTATGTCAAATGAGGCCCAACATATAATTGGTTAGCCATCTACTTTTTTCAGAAATCTTCATTCTGTTGCAACATTGTTTAAATTCACCACTTTAAAAACTCCTGACTGCTGGTGGGAGGTACATCTTTAATCCTTCCGCCAACAAATGAGTTCCTGGAGAATACACAAAAAACAACTTTTAATTGAATTGGGCCGCTTCAAAATTTTAAAGAACTACTTTCTAGACTAATTCCTTACAGGGTTGAGACCTTCAGTGGTGTTTATGGGCTATTTATAACCGGTTTGGAAATTTGATGCGCAGGAATTGATTTTTATCGCATCAAAACGACCAAACCGGTATTAAATATACAAATATTACGATCACTGACGCTATTCTTTTCGGATGAACTCAAAACAGGAGTGCATTTGTATTTCTTTCTTTATAAACAAAACCTAATGGCCCTTAAGGGCACAAGAGTGAACAAACAAACAAAAATACAACAAATAATAATACAAACATGACATAGAAGTAAATAAGTAAATAAGGAAGATGACTTTGTGAAATTTCAGCATCATTGCTTTAACAAAAATGGCTAGATTAGATAAAGTATTCTGTTTTCACTACACATTAGAACCTGAAAATTTACTAAGAAACATTGAATAGTAATTACTGATATACCTGTGTCTTTCATGTGTAAAATAACTACATTTAAAAATATAGTGAAATTCATCACCTATTTCTTGCTGGGTACAAACTGAGCATGTTCTAATTTCTTTTTCAATACCAAAATAGCGACCTTTCCCTATAGGAACATCGGAATTGAGACAAGAGTAAAATTGCTAAATTACTCAAAAATGTTCAATGAACTGTCAATCATGCGTATAGATTTTTCACAAAATATATCCAAAGTCTCTTACTTGTTTGGCGCGAACTGTCAATGCTTGATTTTTTTTTAACTTTTCCACCTTCATTCGGAGAGTCACAAAAACATACAAAGCTATCCAAATGTTTAGTTTCGCGTAAAAAAATACTGCTCATTTCCTATACACAAACAAGAAAGAATTACAATGCTAGAGAAATATCAAAACCTGCCACCTTTATTTTAGTATCATATAAAACGAAAAACATAATAAGAACAGAAAATAACAATAAAAATACATTATTTTTGTTGCCTTAAAAATGTTCTGTAACCTCATATAGGAGGGAGAAAAAATAACAGCTGCATAAACATGTAGTTGCTAAATGTTTATTTGGCAGTTAACACCAGTTTGTGTATAGTAACGAAATCACCAGTTAGAAAACTTGTAGAATGTGACAATTGGTTGAATTTATCTTCATGGGGATATTGTGAAAAATGGCTGTTTTCATTGAAAAGCCTCCTAATACAAGTTCAACGTTGGTTACACATTACCACCTTAAGGTCGACCTGGGGCTCTGACAAGTCCAAAATTGTCTTGGAGATGAGGGTGTCTGCTGACCTCCCTCAAACCCCCATGCTGAAGGGGACACTTTATCCCCACCTCTGGCATCACCTTGATGTATCTATTTGATAGAGGATGGCACCGAAAAAGTAATCACGCCATTTTTCAAATTTTGCGTCTAAAAAGGACATTTTTTTTCACTATTTGAGGCATCAAAAAAGGGGGTGAAAAGATGTGAAAACATATCTACATGAAGTAATGGGCTAACAGAAAATGATGAAAAATATTGGAATTACCCAAACTCGAGTTTTTCCATGTTAAAACATGGCCTTACATATACTTTTGAAGAAAATTGTTGTTTTGTGGCTTTTTTATCGTTTTCATTAAGTCAAAAATTGTCGAAAATTTGTAAATTTGTCAAAATAAAAGAAGGAAAAAAAACAGGTCAAAATATATGACATTCTTTATTTACATAGCTGTTCTTGATTATGAAATAGAACTATTCGGTGAGTTAATCGAGTTATCACGGATGTAAATGTCATAATAATATGCGTTAGTCAATATCTGATATTGCCATTGATTTCAGAATTTATTCCAAGTGCTGTAGCATAAGAATTTATTTTCGATTAATTGCCGTAGTGTCTTGGCGTAGTCTAAGTATACCATATAATACTATTAATTAACTGTATTCCGTCATTTTTACGAGAGGGCTTTCGTCCGCCTTATCTTTTTTGGATGGGAGGGCTTTTGTCCGTTTCCCCCATTAAACAAAGATTAATTGACACTTTTCTACAAAGTTGGTATGCATCTATCAATAATTCACCAAGATTACATTTAAACATTCTTTTGAAATGGAAAAATATTTAGATTATGTCCAAGAAAACAAGTCTTATTCGTTCCTATATTAACTTGTATTCTTCAAAAACAGTGTATTGTTAATTGCTATTTTTATCACTGTACATGTGTATCATTGGTATTTGGCTATAAGCAATGTTTTTTGTTTTATACTTAATAAAATTCGTATTCGTATTCGTTACATCAATCTTTCTAAATCGCAAAAATATAGAAATTAATATATACATGTATTTTTTCCGAGTAATCGAATATCGATTTGTTAACCGATATTCGGGTGTTCGATCGAGTGCCCGGTTAACCGGTTACTCGTTGCCATCCCTATTTTTTTTTACTTTTTGGCCACACTGAACTTCAAAAATCTATTAAGGACATATCTTGTAGTGTTTCCTACACCTAAAATAAATGCTATTACAAAATTCCAAAATAACCTATGCAAATAAAAGCAGTTTTACCTGGGTCCGAGTATCTTTTTAAAGATACTTCTAAGCTTGTTTAAAGGTATTTTTTTGCATTCTATCAACAACATATAGTGGTTATGTTGTCTTGGCAACTAATTGGTAAACTAAAAGACGCGTAAAATAAAAGACACCCGAAATGTATGACGCTTTAACTAAAATTAAATGTCATGACATTACAGAATTGACAGTTTGGTAAATTAACACTGTTGCAATTGAAACATAAGAATTCTACATATACTTTCCATGAAAAAACACACATTTAAATTATATCGTCATTAATGATCTCTGAGTAACATTTTACTGTTGGAACACTCTGGTAACAATATAAATACTTTCTATTCACGACTTAAAGCTTTTTAGAGGTAAACATCAGAAATGAAATTACATGAAAATGTGCAAATATACTCAAGAGTTAAATTAAAAATCGACTTTTTTGCTTAATGTTTATAACATGGTTTGAGTAAAGCTAAAAACTTAAGTGAAATCCCTTTCATATGTTTCTGACAAATCTTTTTAATAATAATAATAATAATAATAATAATAATAATAATAATATTTTGAAAAACTGTACGTGTTGTTGTTGTTGTTTACACGTCGTTTTAAATATATAATGTGATTGCTGTTTTAAGTCCCTTGTTTGTTACTACTTCCCTAATTTATTCCATTACAAAATGCAGATGGAGCAGAGCGAGAATATAAAAAAAATCAAAGGGCTGCAAGCTCTTTGGTATTTTTTGATCTTATCATTATATATGTACCTGAATATACGTACCTGCTTATCCATAGGGATACATAATTATTTCATTTTATAAAAATTGTAATGTTGCTTTTTAAGATGTCAATATTTGAATATTTCATTTCATTGAGCAACGTTATTGTATGTTTGAATTTTTTCAGATTAGTGAAAACAATTGTAGTCTTTAATTGCTCAGTAATTGATATGCTTTTATTTACAGATTTTAAGGCCCTCTCCTACCATAGGTATAATATTAAACTGTTACAAATACAAAAACTGTTTCTACCGGTGACAAATGATAGCCTTCTATATACAGATTTGAATTTTTATCGGTTAATGTTCACTTAAAACAATAATATAATTATCAGTAAAATTGGAAAGAAAATCTTTATCAGAACGTTTTGTGTCAGTTGAACCATTTAAATTCCAAACTAGAATACTAAGTTCATCCTCCAATAAATCCTATTCAATTCAATATATTTATTGCATAAAACATGTGACATATTTATAGCAAACAAAATATATGAAATACAATGGAAATGTATGGGTTTTACCTATGTTAAAAAATATTAACAAAAGTTTTCTGAAGAGCTTATTACATGAAAGAATGTTTGTTAGTTTCTCATTACATTAGCATAATATATAAATTTACATAGATTCTGAATAATTTTTCGGTTAGTTTCACTTAACAAGTTTTTGAATTTTTGTAAGTTAGGCCAGGTATAATAATAACATTTTAGATATTTTCTACGTAGTTCTCTAAATTTTGGACATATAAGTAAAAAATGATATTCATTTTCGATCATATTAGAATTACAATTTAAACAGATTCTCTCTGTCCTAGGAATATTTATGTAGCGTCCGCGTTCTATTGCCAAATCATGTGAGGATGTACGAAATTTCGTTAAAGATATTCTGAACTTTGTTTCCTGAAAAAAGTCG